GCTAATAAATATTAATATATAATAATAAAAAATAAAATAAATAAATATATATTATATGCAAATTTCGAATATTAATAACAATAATAATAGCATGTTATTTTTATTAAAAAAAATTAAGTTATTACTTATTATTAATAAAGTTATTGTTCTTAAATACATTTTAAGATTTTTTTTAAAATTTATTAGCTATTTAAAAAAATCAATTTTGAGTTTGAATTTCAGTGTCGTTTGTTTAGAAAAATATTTTTCATTGTTTACTGCGTGTTTTTATTATTATTAATATTAATAATATTAAATATATATTAAAATTATGTTTAATGATATTTTTAAAGTAAATAAAAACTATTTATTATTTATACAATTAAATCTATATTTTAATATATTTTTTTGTTATTTTTTTCACTAAATCGTATTTCTTTTATTCGATCAGTTTTTATATTGCTGTAATTATTAAATTTTTGTTTAATTATTTACTTATTTATTTTTTTTTTATAAGTTTGCGATGTAAACAGAGCTTAACTTTGATTTTACGCTTCAAAAATCACAAGCATCCTGAGCGGCAGCAGAAGGAGATCCTCCTCCGACTCCTTCCTTTCTTAGCCTCCTTGGCTGCTCCTCCTTCGATTGTCCTGTCCCCCCCTGTTGTCATATGTGAAGTTCTCGTCGCGTTTGTGGATTTTACATTACAGACCCTGGCAACAACAAAAACAAAAACAAAAAAGAAAAAAAAAAACAAAAACAAGACTACTAAACTGGCAGAAGATGTGTGAGTCTCGACCATGGAATACCCGAGCAAAAAAAAAAAAAAAAAAACGGAGACTTTAAAGTGAATTTAAAATTATTTTTTAATAATTATTTCTTTTCTTATTTATTTATTTATGTATTATTAATTAAAATTTATTATAATAATTAAACTTATTTTTTTTTATTTTCCAAATTATGAATTTATTAATATTTAAATATTTACTATTAATGATTTAAATAAATAAGAAAATAAATTCATTTATAAATCTAAAGAATCTCTTTAAAGAAAATATCGATAAATGTGCTACTGTATTTTATGAAATTGTTAAAACCGATATTTTAACGTTGCGATATGTCCGATAAAGCGATATTTTATTAGACATATTGGACCTAAATAGTCAAAACAAATAAATTAAATTAAATACAAATTTTGTTTTAGATATATATCGATAATTTACTTCTTTTAAAGATAAATTTAATATTTTTCTTCGATATAAAATTTCAATATATAAAAGAATTCAATATTTTTGATATGTTATGAAGCTCAACATTTTTGTCAAAATATCATAAACAATATACCCTTTTGTGGGGCTTACTAAAAGGTAACCAAGAATTGAAACGCGAACTTGGCTTCAAAAGGAAAATTCTCACAGCGTGTTGGAGCGCTGGAAAATGTGCCGGAGATGGAGGAGGGCGAACAAAAATATAGAAAAAAAAAATAGCAGAGGAAAACTCAATGATAGACAACGGGAAAACACAAACATGGCAAACAACACTTGTCCACTGGCCTGGCAAATGGATTGGGAAGAGGTTCGGTTCGCGGCCGAGGAGGAAAAGGATGAGCTGGGCCCAAGATGACAGGATCTGACCCTGTGCCTTCGCAGGTCCTCTTCCCCCCCACCCCCCTTAATACATAAACGAAAGCGGCCAGACATGTAAGCAATTTTCCAAAGTACTTAGTCAGCAAGTTTTACCCCTCTGTTTTTGTTGTTGTTTTAGTAGTGCCACACCACCGCCGCCCTACGGCCTCTGCAGGGTGACCACACACACACACATGCAAAAACGGAAGGACGACAAGAAAATATGAAAGAAAGAAAGCACCCACGCATGGCTCGCTGGAGATACCACGGGGTTATGTTATGTCCTGTCACTGGCTACAAGTCGAGCGATAAGCCAGCCACACCCCCCCACCTCCCTTCCAAAAAAAAAAAAAAACGCCCAAAAAACGCCCATCTGCCACCACCCCCTCCGCGCAAAAAAAAAACCACCCAAAACCCCTGAAAAACATTCTTCGCCAGCGGTTCGCATTTATTTATTTCCATTTTTTTAACACATATTAAGCCGCAAAAATATTGCCTGTCCTTTCCACTGCTCCTTCATTTTCTATTTCTTTTGGTTTTTTTTGCTACTCTTTCCTGGGTGGTGGTCCAGAATTTGCACAAAACACAAAAAAAAAAATTAGCAAGCAGTGAAATGCAACACTTAAAAAAAATACGTATATATTTGTTTAGAGGGTAAAGAGAAAGGAATTTTTAGTTAGAAATTAAAAAGGAAAACTAAAAGTAATAAAATTCAATTTAAAAATATAAACATAAGTAATTAAAAATCAATTATATATTAAGATATATAAATCGATATTTTCCAGAAATAGATGTGCTTTACAGCAATATTTGATTTGATATATAGAAAATATACAATCAAAAACATAAATAAAAATATATAAAATATATATACAATTTGTTTAATATTTTTTAGTAATATCCAATTATTTAACGTTAAATGCAATAATTGAATTTTGATATATTATTAAAGATACGAGACTTTCGATATAAAATTTAGTAAGATATTTTTGTATATTCTTAAAAAACTTATTTTTTGCAGTATTAAAAAAAGGTTATTGAAGTTTATTTGTTATTTATTAGGAAAAGGTTATTGAAGTTTATTTGTTATTTATTTGATTATATATTTAATATTATTTATTTTTAGATATTTTTAATTTTTTAATTAATTTGATTTTTGTATTTATTTCCATTTGTAGTTGTTTATTTCCATTTAATTATATATATTTTATTTTTGTTTTATTTTATATTTAGTTTTTTTTATTTATGTTTATTTCCATTTTATTTATTTTTTTACATTTATTTCCATTTGTAGTTGTTTGCTTTCATTTAATTATATGTATATATATATTTTTTATATGTATTTATATCTGTTAATTTTTTTATTTGCATTTTATTTATTTATTTTTGTTAATTATTATTTATTTTTATTTATCTTTATTTTTATTTATTTTAATTTTTATTTATTTTCATTAATTTTTTTATTTTAATTTATTTATATATATTTTTTTTTTCTTTAAATTAAAATTTTATTTATTATTTTTCCAAGTGCATGAAGCAATGGTAATATCCTAGCTGGTCGTCTAATTCAGTCGATAGCCATTCATTGGAAACGCTTGATTGATGCTTCGGCCTTGTCTGCTGCTCGTCGATAAGCAGGCGGCAAAGACTATGCCACTCTTAACCCCACACAGCCCCTGCTAGCTGCCCGTGTGTTGTGTTCCTCAGCCCCCTCCCCCTCCCAAATACACCAAATACCCCCCTGCTGATGCTATGCTGATTTTTACAATTGCCAGCGAGCGATTTTCAATTTTTCACTTTACATATTTCATGGATTAAGAGCGACGACTACGTTTTGGACTTGGAAACTAGTGGCATAAATTGAATTTGGCTGGACGAGGGTTAAGCCGAGATGGTTGGGGGGTCCATATATAATTTTTATACCCAAAAGAGACGTGTTTTAAAAAGGTATTATTATTTCCATAATTCAATTTATAAAAGTTTTTGGATAAAATCTAAGTAAATATTTAGACAAACTAAAATATTGATAGTTTATTGTGTTTTATAAATAAATTAAAATATTAATATAATATTAATGGATTTATTAATATTTTATTCAGCTTTATTTCTAATTTAAATACTTTCTTTTTATATGCTTTTATTATAAAATGAAAATATTACAAATTTTATTTACAAAATTATTCTAAAATTCAGGCATAAACCCGCCTTGATTTCTTCGATATTTCCGCTTAAACTTCGAGTGGTTTATTGTTTATTGTTCTTTCTCTTACCGATTATTTTGTTGTATTTTTTTGATTTGTTTGCCATGTGACATGTGACAGGTCGCCGGGCTCCGGCTTTGTTGAGTGGCGGAAACAATGGCTCGCTCTTTCAATTAGGAGGCGAGTTGAATAAGTCAGAGAGCTTCTGACCGGGTGACATGCTCACCTTGATTTGCCTGACATTTCCACATTCGAGTCCTTAGCGTTGACATTTCTTTCCCCTTTTGGCACTCACTTCCTTTTCCTCTGAGTTCTTGTTTTCAGGAAGCAGCGATCTTGAAACGGGACAGCGAGTCCAAAAACCAAGGCTCAACCCCGTGCGGCGGCCAGATGTCAGAGGACTTGGAAGGGGAAAAATGAAAAATGATAATTTCGTGGGTACCTGGGCCTATCTGCGGGATTAAGGCAAGGGGTTACGCGGATCTTCGATGTCCCAATAACAGATTCAATTCCCATTTCCCCCCCTCTCAGGTAGCAAAAGCAGCAACCCCTTTTTGCGGGCTTACAAATTGCGTCACGATCCTCGTGAATTTTGAACCCTTCCAAAATTAAAAAATGAAAAATAAAATCCAGGACAGGACAGGAGTATCCTTTTTGTTCAGTTTTCGGTAGGCAAATCCGCGAGTCATCCCGCCGATTCCAGTCGAGTTCACATGACGATCGACAGCCGCCAAGATCGGTTGTGAATACTCGTTATCGGACCGGGCAATTATCACTGCACTCTCATCGAAAATGATCGGTTATCGTCGCTCTGCGATCTCGGTATTTTTGCGCTTTTCGCCGTTCGGGTTTTTCAATCCCCGATCGGACGTTCCGATCAAGTCAAGTGACGAGACGCGACGAAACGAGACGAAGTGCCATCAATTAGCCAATTCGGCATTATCCTGCAAAGGATCCTTGCCCTTTTTTGGGCATCAACAGCAGCAGATTTCCAGCAGATAAGGAAAATTGAAGGACTTTAAGGCCTAAGGGGGTCGCAAACAGTGCTCAGACGAGGATGTGTTAGGGAAAAATTAAGATCCTTGATATTTAATAAAAAATGTTGTATTAGAAAAAGGTTAAAAATGTCGATAATTTTTTACTGCTTGTATAATTGACCCTGAAGTTTGTTAATATATAAATATATATTTTAAAGTAGCTATAAATTGATATTCAACTTCCTATTTGAAGTCAATTTAATATATTTTACATTAGTACACTAGTACATTAACTTGTATTTCAAATAAATTGAAAAATATCGAGAAAAAATCGAAAAGCAGGTAAATAAAAAATAAAATGTTTAGATTAGTTTAGTGGTTTGGCGTAGATATGTACAGAAATTGCAAATGGTTTCTAGGGAAACATTTGAATTTTGATTTTATTATTGTTGTGGCTTGGCATTTTAGTCGCCTTCCATCGGTGGCTTATCCACCAATTCATCGCCGATCATCGATAGCAGTTCCAGTTGCATGTCTCCCAGCAATTGACCGCCCAGCCAGAGGAATAGATACTCATAATTGTTGGTATTTTGAGAGTTAATGTTGTAAAAATACTGAGGGGGAAGAGGAGGAAAAAATAATAAAATACAATAAAATAAAATAATTAAAAAGAAATATTTATTATACTATATAAGGACATAGTAAAGAAGAGCCAATCGATAAATGACTTGTATATTTTACATATTCAACATATTAATAAAAATAAAAAAAAAACTTAAGAAAAGGTCAAATGCTTAAAAAAAATCCTTGGAAACTTCCTCCTAAAATTCCTAGAAAACTACCCAAGAGCCTTCCCATACAAGAAACTTGATTATGTTTATCGAAAGATATAAAAAAAAAAACGATAAACAAGTTGTATATTTACACATTAAAAAGATTTAAAATAATATAAAAGAATCTTAAAAAAGGTCAAAGGTCAAATTAACCCTTTAAAACTTCCTCCTAAAATTTCTAGAAAACTTTTCTCAGCTCACCTGTAACTTGGTTTTCTTAGTTATATCCTTAATCTGCTTCTTGACTCCGCAAAGGATGGTGGGTATATCCTTGTACTTCTTAAGCAAAGCACCATGGTCACTCTCTGCATTTTCGAACATGATGACTGTGCAGTCGGCCTGGACACGATCTTGATCCTGGCTCAGTTTCTTGAACTTCTGCTGACCGGTGGCATCCAGGACTCTGAAAAGCAAGGATCCGGCGGTGGTTTGAAAGACTAGTGGACGCACCTCCAAGCCCTGCTCGTTCATCTCCACCATGGGGAAGCCGCCCTTGACGAGCTGCTCCTCGAAGGCGTTCTTCGTTTGGCCATCGTCGCCAATAAGAACACACGTAAATTTGCGAATAGATTTCGTTGTCATCTTTTGTTATTTTCAATTTTATTTTTTGAGGCAAGAAATTAGAGCGTTTCCTATTTTTAAAGCAGGACAAGTACCTATTACGTTGGGAATCTGATTTTAGATTAAATGAAATGTCTGAGGGATTTCTGGCTGATGACACATTTTTGACACTAGAAACAGGAGCTATTTTAATTTACTAAGAAAATTATAGAATAATATTTGTATATAATACAATTTTTTTAAAACCCTTTCCCCACGTGAAAGTCTTTAAATGGCTCACGGTTAAGGTCAGTTTATGGACTCCCAGAGGCAGTTCAAAGGGGGATTTAAGGGGGGCTATTAAGCCCCCTTTGCAGTCTATACATATTAAAATCCATAAAACTTGGTTAGTTGTCTCGCTGGTCCTGTTTCCTTCTGCTTGATATAGCTGCGCGGCATTTATAAATGTAATTGTATAATTTCGATGGGGTGTGGGCACTCGCAGGACTCGCAGGACTTCGCAGGACTCATAGGGTTGAATGGCAAATGGCCGAAGCTTTCTAATATCGCTGGCCATTAGGGGTGGACTTTTCGATTTTCGGTCCCAGGACAACGCCGTCCCCAGGACATCGGCGATGGCCACTGGAGTGGAGAGCGAGCGAGACAGCTAGACAAGGCGGACAAGGTGAAATATGTGCGATTTCAATGCAGGACTTCGCAGGACAAGCAGCCCATTCACCTCCTCCTCCTCCTCCTCCTCCTCCTCCTCCATGGGCACAAAGGGGGGGTGGGTGTTGGTGCGCTTCATACCACCCAGGGGAAGGGGTGGTCACAATGGGCAGACAGAGACAGCCACAGGAGCTAGGGAGAGAGAGAGTGAGAGAGAGCTAGACTGAACCAGGAGTCCAGTTTGTACACAGAAAAATATTTAAGAGGGGGAATATTTAGCTTAAATTTATTTAAATCAATTTAAATTATATGTATGGCAAGCTTTAAATTAATTAAGTTTCTTAAAAATATTTATTATATATTTTAAATATATTTTTAAAGAACTTCTAATTGATTTTTTAAAGAAGTTTAATTTAAATTTAATTTCAAATTTACCTCTTTTAATTTAAAAATTTAGTTTATATTGTTTTAAATATATACATATGTATATATTTTTTTTTTTAAGGAAAAATATATTTTTAATAGATATTCCTCACAGTGTAAAGCCAAACAAAAGGGTCAATACAGGGGGGCCTTAACGGGGCCTTTAGTGATACCAGTTAGCCAACCCCCAGGTTAGCCCTTCCTGTTCCCCCCCTTCCCCCTACCCCTTTTCCCAGTTGGACTGTACTCTCTATCCTTCCCCCTCTCACCCCCCTCTCTCTCTCTCTCTGTCCTTCTCTTTTTCTGCGACTGGCATTCAACCCCCTTCAGCAGATTGACTTTTATGCTGATAACTCTGATGTCGTTTTGTTCCTGCTTCCTGGCTGGCCACCTCACCCTCTTGGCCACCCCCTTCTTTTTACCATCCCCTCTCCCTTTTGATTTCTCCCCCTCCCGTGCCACTCGCCCAACTCACGTAGCTGTCCACTACAACAGCTTTCCTCCTACTCGACTCACCCCCTGGCGTGGCCATTTTGAAAATTTCTGGCCATTTCCCTTAGGTGGACAGGTCTTCAAACATCTATTCAGTTGGCTTTCAGGTTTATTCTTTACCTTCTACACCCGCTATTTTACCCCCAATTCACTTCCCCATCTCACTTCACCCTTGACCCCCCCTTTTACGCTTTTCATCGATTGAGGTAAACGCAACTTTGGCTTAAGTTTTGGAGGTCTTGGTGGCCCCTAAATAAGCTGACCATCTTGAGAAAATTATAGCTTACACTGTGCCAAAAATATATGAGGTTTTAGGAGTTGTAATATGTATAGGAAATATAATATGCCATATAGAAAATATATTTTGAGAGACTCTTATTTATGATTTTTTAATTTAGTTTTCCCCAAATTCAGTTCCTCAGTTGTATCAATAATTGACCTACAACTCGATATATTTATTAATCGATATATTTATGATTTATTGAAACTAGTTATACTATATTTTACCATATTTTTGGTACAATAATGAGTGCCCTAATTTATTTTTTAAATATATCATAGCCATCTCCTCTTAATATACAATTTTAAAGCCATTTTTATGGAAGGTATCCTTCAGCTCAAGCTCCTTCTGGTCACTTCATAACGGGGATAAAGCCCAACCCCAAACACACTCGAGTTGATTGTCAGGAAGGATGCGTGTATGAGTGTGTGGGTGTGTGTATGTGTGAGAAAAGCCGTAAATTAGTTGCCTTTACCCGAAAATAAGACGGAATCTAAGCCTGACACACACACAATACCTATATAAATACATCTTCATCCGGTCCAGTTTTGTTTGGACAAGGAAGAACTGTGAACCAAGGACGAAGGACTAAGCACTCCTGAGACCTCAATCCTCTTCTCTTTCCCCTCTAACCACTCGGTCGGTCCTCCTTTATCCCTTTGACTTGACGATGTTTTTATGATGCCCAGGACAGCAGAGCACAGGAGACAGAGAGAGAGTCCTTCTGCTCGTGCTCGCTGGCTGCCTGGCCGTATTAAGACAAAAGGTTAAATTTAAATTTGAAATGATGAAAACAGGGGAAGGGGAAGGGGGAGGGGAAGGGGGGGGGGAGGAGGATATTGGGGGTGTTACAACGCGCCAAAAGGTCTGCGGCAGGTTCGAGCATCACGTCCACATTCGGCTCCAGCTCCGGTTCTTGCGTGCCTCAAGCTTAGGTCCTGGCCATACATTGCAATATGGCTGTGCCTGCCCCAGCCTGACCTCCCCCCCACACGATATCCTTTCCACCCAAACATCCCCCCCTCCCCCCTCCGCTTGTCAGACAGTTGGAAAAAGATCCTGCGAGCATAATGTTGGATAGCAATTGGATTGTTGGGTTAGGTGTAAGTCCTGTGTGTGTGTGTGTAGCAGATGGTGTGTGTTACGTGTGTGTGTGTGTGTGTGTGCTGGCCAAAAAGGAGCAGCAAGGACCTCTGCTTAGTGAGCCTGGTGTGGGTGGCAAGTTGGCAAAAAAGGAGCACCAGAAACTTTGAGCCAAAGGCTGCTGCTGCTGCTGCTTCAGACGTGGGCAGGATAACTCCTTGTCGTCCTCATCCTTGTTTTTGTCGGTGGGTTAAGACGCAGCGGGGTTAAGGCCAGTGGCTCTGGGGGCCAACAGGGGTTAAGATAGGCAACGAAAAAATATATTTTTCATATCTCTACATCTATAAACTAATATTATATAATATTTATCACCAGCCAAAGCCGAGTCAATCTAGCCTTGCCATTTTCTCTGTCTGCTCGCTTGTCCGTTCGTTTGTCCATCAGTCTGTCCTTTTCCTTGTCCGTTCCTCTATCTCTTTCTTTGCTCAAATAAAACTTAAAACCAGATACTTTTTTACCTGCTAAAAAAATATCTTTTAAAATAAATAACTAAAATATTAAATATAAAAATATGTAAAGACAAAACCCCCCATGCTTCTAAGACGCCCCTGTACCCAAGTATAGGTGGGATTCCGCCCCGTATGCTAATGGACATTCGAGATTTCGGTTTTTGGGTATTTTGAGCAGTTCAGCTCCTGTTTAGGCGGTCGGCCGTCCTTCTATCCTTTCGGGCTCCGAGCTCTGAGCTCGGGGAAAAGCCGATAAGTACGCTTTATGCCCTTAGAATGCTACGTGTGCGACGGGGGTTAAGACTGGGAACTTGCACTGGACCTTGGGACTGGACTGGGCGGACGACTCGTGATACTCATTTTGTGATTGTGTGATGATGGATGGGACATGTGCCCAGGACGAGGGCGAGCTTGAGGTCCTTGGAATGCCATGGGATACGATAGGCTGGGGTTAAGGGTTGGCCCTGGGATTGTTGGGGTTAAGACTACTCCACGTCCAGTTGCATTTGTCCTTGTGCTATTGAGCGTGGCCAGGTCCTTATGGTCCTGCTCGCTGGAGTGTGCCGGGCAAAAAGGATTCGAACGATTTAGCATTCGAAATAAGGATACGGGGGGACACTGGCCCCCCGGATCCTGTTTGTTTGCATTCCGCTCCCACCTGACTGATACCTTTTCCCCCATTAGGGCCATGAAATATGCAGGCTGGATAAACATAATTTCGGTAGCGAGCGAGCGTCCTTGCCACAGAGCAGAGAGGTTAACTAGCCATAATTTATACGCTCGATTGGATTTCGCATTTTGTGTGTGTGTTGTTTTCAAGGCTAGGAGGTGTGGGTATCGAATCTTTCTGGGGAGAGCTCAATTGGATTTATTTTTGGCTATTTTCACTGGCCATTATAGTGGCCGGTTTTGTTCGATTTGAAGGGTTAAAAGATGTCCTTTATTTTAGGAATGTGATTGGGATTTGCGGAAACAATAGGTTGAAGGTTTAACTAAACTTAGAAGCAAGTTAGGGATTTATAAAATGTATTATTTAAATATAGTTTTTTTTTATTTTATTTTATAAATTTCTGTATTAATACATTTATATTATTTTAATACATTTTTTTATATTTATTTAAGTTAAATATGTGCCGAAATTTTAAATAATTTTTATATAATTTTATATTTTTATAATTTTAGGGAAAAGTAAAACTTACAAATATCATAACTCGACCAAAAAAGCATTCATTTCAATTCGGAAAACTTGGCTGTCTTAGTTTTTATAAATTTAATAAATTTCCATACTTTATTTAGTTATTTATAAAATTAAAAATTTTATCAAATTTTATCAAATTTTATCAAAAATTTTAATGATGTTTCCTCTTTGATTGTCTTTCCAACATTGCTGGAAAGACTTGTCTGTTGATGCTGATCAAGAATATATATGATTTATAGGGTCGGAAATGACTCCTTTACTGCTTTACTAAAATTATAATACCTTCAAAATGGTATTAAAATTAACTCCTGGTTTATAATTGATTTAATTTATCATTTATTATATTTATAATTTATTATATTTATAATTTATTTATTAAATTTATTATTTATAATTTATTTCATTTATTATTTATTTTCCAAAGAGATATATACACTTCTAAGGCTGATTATAATTCTGAAACTTAAACATAAATGATTTTTAATAATAATTAATTGTAAAGAATTTTTATTAAAATTTTGTTGTATTCAAAACTTAGATGAAATCATTTCTTGAATTTTTTTATTTGACTTAAAAAGAAATTCTTCTAATTCTAGAATCATCTTTTTAATACTCAATAATTCTAGTTTAATATTTAAATGACATTTTTCCCTTAAAACAAAAATATTAAGAAAAAAAAGTCCTTTTATATGAAGCATGTCCTGTGTCTGTCCTGTGCAGCCATTTGCAAAAACTAAACGTTTGCATTTCGCAGACAATTTCCAAATAATTGGGCCACAAATAG